AGACAAAAGAACAAAGTGAGAGGTATCACACTACCAGACTTTAAATTTTACTAGATTGCTCTAAAATCTGGCTTAAACTCCTTTTCTTTTCTTTTTTTCTTTTTTGAATTGGAGTCTCACTTCATCACCCAGGTTGCAGTGCAGTGGCATACCCACAGACACCCCAGCATTGACCTCCTGGGATCAGGCCATCCTTCTGCCTCAGCCTTCCAAGTAGACAGAACTATAGGCACACGCTACCACACCTGGCTAATTTTTTGATTTATTGTAGAGATGAGATCTTGCCAAGTTGCCCAGGCTGTTTTAGAACGCATGGACTCAGGCAATCCCCTCACCTCATCCTCCCAAAGTGCTGGAATTACAGGCTTGAGCCACCACTACCGGACTTAAACTCCTTTTCAAAAAACTTTCTCCAACTGCAGCAATTCTCAAATGATAATTGCTTTTCTACATTGTCTCCTTATGCTGATAAGAACAGTCTGTAATTCAATATTTTATGATGAGCCAGATATTATATGGTATTTTTAAAGAGTCTTTCATCTCAATATTTGCTGTTTCTCACCCTATAGAATACTCATACACAGTACAAACAAAGACATATACTCCATTTAAAAAATTTGTATTGTTTTGTTTTATTTTTTCAAACTGGGGGGTCTATTGGAGTCTAAGTCCTATAGATTTGTAGTCAGTGAGTGTTTGGTGACCAGAACAGAGAAGGACCCAGTCCTTGAGGAACTTGGATTTCGGGGCAGGCCCTCAAGTACTGAAAAGAGAGCATCTGGCAGTGACTCTGAAGCCTGTGGTTCTAGCAAGATGAATGGGGATGGTTAGAATGTTTGAACATCTGGAGTGTTGGAAGGTGACTCCCAACATCCACTTTCAAGGAAGGAAATGGTAAGATGCACGTTGTGGGCTACCAGGAACGGTTGTTCTCACAACTTTAAAAAGCTCTGCAAAGACTGGCAGGTGAGGAGGGGACTGTGCTAGGAAGATGGAAAAAGAAAGTGAAGATCAAATCCAGTTAGGAAGACAAGTACTCACATAATGCGTGGTCATATGGGAGGGAAGAAAAGAAAGGGAGCATCTAGGGCTTCTAGAACCACTAAGTTGGCATTGCATCCTGGAGAACAGTGTAAAAAAGGACAGAGACATGCAAAGGGCTCAGACAAGCCCAGACAATTCAAGTGCATGTTTATTAGCCCCAACCCTGACTTTGTATGCTGAGAAAATCAGTTAAGGTCCTGAGGTCTCTGCCACACATTGCCCATATTAAGTGCCTTAAATTATGTAATGAACACACCGTGGCACAAATATTTTTGCTGTCAGAGGACTCACCTGGTGCATTCCCTTGTATCTGAAGAAGAGAGACCCAGTGAAAAGAGGGAGATGATAGAAACCATGCAAAAGAGGAGGACGTCCCCACAGGAATGGGGGGTTAGAGTCCAAATTGCATAAGAAAAGCAGCATCCTGCAGATTGTGAAAGGCCTAGTGGTCTGACAAGGCACTATGTGAGGCTGGGCATGCCTTGTGTGGGGTGTTGGAAACTGGACTGAGGTGAAGAAGGTTTCAACTTGGGTGATCTCTCTGGCACAGGAAGTCAGAACTTAAATGGAGGAAGGAGCAAAGTTGCAAGGGGGAAGGGGTGGCAGACACAACATGCATGGTTACATGAGAAGAATCTGATGAAATATATAAAACTGTCGAGGATAAGAGAAGCTATGTTTCTCACTATTGGATAAAGGAGTTGTGAATATGGGAAGTAGAACACTAGAATGAACCTTCTAATATAGGATTGTCACCAAGTATTACTGTAAACTCATCACTTCTCAAGATGTATAGGTATGGAATAAAGATAACGATACATGTAAGTGTGTATACATGTGTGTATACATGTATGTACATATATGGATATATATTCCCTATGTATGTTCACTGTGATGCCCAAGAGTGGTGTTACCCCCAAAAGCACCCAAGGAGACCTAGAACCCATGCCCTGTTTTCTTTCTTTTTTTAAGGAGTAAGTAAGAATTTAATATAAGACAGGAAAGCTCCTGGCATCAGGAGAGGATCCGAAAACAGGTTGCCCCATGTCCTGTTTTCTAAATACCATTCTCCATCAAAAGGAGTCAGGTCTCTGGCAAAATAGCACATAACAAGACTGAGGTAAGAAAAGCTTAAGGTAACTTCTTGTGCCATAAAGCAAAGATGTGCTCAAAGAATAATGAGGAACCTCACAGAAAGGAGGGTTTAAGAGGGTAAACAATTCCTTTATTCCCTTATCTCTTTTGTACAATACTTGATACACATTTAAAAATAGCACCAAAAGCTCATTGCATGCTAAGCAAATTTATTTTTATCAGTAATTTTCTAACCTCATCTTGAGACCATGCCCTAATATCTACAAATCCACCAATACAAATATTCAATGCCAAAAATTTCACATTAGGAACACAATTTTTTAAATGGTTAGACCTATCCTGTATAAGTTGTCTCTCACTATTTTTCTTTTCATTCATCTATTCCGTGATTTCTTGGGCAAACATAAATGAAGTGCCCGTACCCTATACAATATTGCAATAGGAGCCAGGGCCATGCAAGTTTTGGCACAGCAGCGAGTGAACTTCTTGATGGAAGTCTACCCTGATGGACTTATACTGTTTTAGAATTGTGCAATAGTTGGAGATAATTATTTCAGCCACTCCCCACATCCGGGTTTTATGGATGAGGAAATTAGAAAGTCGGTAAATGAAATGATTCAGGCACTTAAATGCCAATGACATTTTAATCTTCCTAAAGTACACATGTTGCAGCCCTCCAAACATTATTGGTATACATGTCTTGTTGCTCCTATAAACCCAGAAGCATTCCAAGAATCAGAACATCATTCACAAATGACTGTTGAAGAAATTGAAATAGCCTGTATGTTCCACGAGAGTTGATTTTACTCACTTCTCTATACCTAGGTCTTGAACACTGCCTGACATATAGTTATGTATTCAATATTTATTGAAAAAAATTTTAAAGATATTCTAAGTGAGTGTGCATATGGAGGTGTCAGTCACTGAGAGTTCACCAGCAGGTGATAGTTATAGTTGCTAAAACTTTTATTTGGGACTGTGAATGCCCTAGGTGAGGGCCCGCCTTAAACTTTGCTGCTCAATACCTTTATATATCTGTGTTCCCAATTCTGCATTAGGAGGACTGGGGTCAGATGACTGAGATGAGGGTAATGTGCTTCTTTGACCTCTAGGAGGAGCTGTGACTTTGCTGAAACTCCTGAGGCAGGTGGGGTGAGGAGGAAAGATGGGGGGGGGCAAAGGGAGCAGACCAAGGAAGGAATAAAATGCTCTAGCATCAGGGTCTGC